TGCCAGCTATTGCTCCTTCACCTCCCCAAACCATGATATTTCCAATCTGTCGGGTTGGCTGCAAACGCAACAGCCTTGATAATTATCTGGTTGTCGTTCATAGAAGGAAAATCAGCTTCGGCCACTCCGTACTGACCCTACTTTTTAGTGTTAGCTTACTAATTCATTGTGCAACCGAGAAATATTCCACATACAGATTGTTTATGGTACAATAATCAGCAATTAGCTCAGTGCGTGAAGATGGGGAACGTTAGTAATCAATTTATCCAGGCCCAAACATGAATATAATTCCTTGTAATTTCATGTAATGTAAGATAATAGAAGTTTTTAACTAATAGAGTACTAAATACGTTATGAGTCAAATTAACAATGCTGCTATCCTTTCTGGATCTTTTGATAAAGGTCAATTGACTGAAATTGGCGAAATTGCTTATCCAAAAATCAACGATGACACGACCAACATGCCAACATGACCAACATGAACAAATATGGATGCAAACATTCTATGCTTCTGCTAGATCTACTTTCGACCCTTACGTCACAATCCCTACACCACATCCTACACCACATCCTACACCAACTCCTACACCAACTCCTACAGCCCCTACTCGCGCCATGCCATCTTAACACGTCACCGGTTCGAACCACCAACCCCTATTCCACGCCAAACAGCAACAATACCACACCATACAATAGTATGGTCGCGCCGACAATACCGCCATTACCCGCCCTTGTGAAATGATTATGTAATAAAATGATACGCATCAGGTTTTTCGACAACTTATAGTTGCCACCCTTGCCAATACAGAACAACCCTCCTTATCTTGAAAACTATACTTGTTCTTTCACATTTAATATTCTTATTTTTCGTTAAGAATATACAAGTAGGTTCTATACGTAATACAATTGTTGGTATCCTTCATTGGCATTTACCAAGTATATTATCGAAAGTTTTTAAAAGAGCAACTAGCATATATTTTCACGGAGTCTGTGAGTTTACCGCCCAATACCGGACCTGTACAAGAATAGTTGGAAATTCAAATTCAATATGGCAGCTAGTTTGGCGGAAGTAAAGGTCAATAAGAGAAGTATCGGGGAGTTGGAGGACATAACCAACAACGATGGGTACCATAATAATAAGAAGATGAAGATGAACATGAATTTCAAAAGCATGTATTTCAAGAACGAGGGCGAGGAGAGGAAGCGTCCGCAACAACAGAGGTCGCCATCGCCGTCGGACATGTCTTCGTCGTCGCCCACGAAGCCGAGGTCGAAGTCTGTGACGTTTGAGTTGTCGCAAAACAAGCAATACGAGAACTCGCCGCTTTTGACGCCGAAAGACGACGACGACGACTATAACGACGGCGTGGAAGGGACTGAGGATGTGGGCCAGGTGGAGGCATCAAACGAGACGCAGAATGAGAATCCTGGAGCACGGTTGGGCACCAACTGTGATTATCTCGCGTTGACATCCTCGTTGCGCTTGTTAAACACCAACAAGGGCAAGATTGAAAGGGAAATCGTGGACTTATCTCAGATGTTGGACTTCCACACCAAAAACTCCGATAAAGGAGAAATAATTGACTTTTTCTCGAAGTTGGTTGATAACAAATTGAATTTGCCCCAGCAAAACAAGATTTTGAGATGCCCATTAATCGACTGGTCCAAGTACCACAATGGCTTGACCAACGTAAGTAAAGAGAGTTTTGAAGCTTGCTCAAACGAAAAACTGTTGTTCAGAACTCTCAACTTGTTTAATTCAAAATAATTTATTTTCCGTCTAAGGAGAGAACAGATATAGAGTTGATTTTTGTTGTGTGATTATGAATTGTTTGTCTTGTTTGTTTTACTGCTTATGAGTTGTTTGTTTATGGATATTATATGATGTCATTGGATATCATGGATGTTTTTTTGGAGGTTGCTATATGATGTATTGCAGCCACAACCATACTCTGGTTTCATTTCATTTGGTCGCTGCACTCTATGTAGCTTCTTTTTTAAGTAATGCTTTTCATTTTGCGTTGAAATTTGGTTTGGTCAGTTGATTTGGTTCGTTTTGTTTATTGTTTGTTGTTTGTTGTTTGTTGTTTGCCGTTTGTTGTTTGCCGTTTGCCGTTTGTCGTTTGTCGTTTGTCGTTTGTCGTTTGTTTGTTGGTTTTTGTTCCGTTGCTTGATTTAAGTTCACTCATTTTATTCCAAAGCAGTGCCTTTTATTTCGTCTATCAAAATTATCAGTTTATGTATTTCTTTTCTATTACCCTATGTATATAGTTCAATTCAAAAATTACAATAAAAAATTTGGCTAATTGGTTCTAAATGTAGTCCTTTTATATCGCACCCTAATGGTCTTATACTTACTACATTAGGCTACCTTAAAAATGTGTGTATTATATTTATCCTTTACATAACCAACCCATTTAAGACAATTGCTTTGTTCTAGTATCATGATTGGGAATTGAAGCACGATTGTCTAAGTAAGTTTTCTTTCTCTGATCTGATAACCTAGGAATTAAATATTGTACAAAACATACATCTTTTTCATTTATCTCTTTATATTAATCATAATTAGATAATTCTATTAAGTTTGAATCAGGATCACGAATGTACAAAGAAGTAATACTTCCAACTGCTCCTGTTCTTTTGACTGGGCCTTCTATTATTGCAACACTATTTTTTCTCAAATGGCTTGCAACCTCCTCAAGCAGAGTACTCACTACAAAACAGAGGTCTGCAGAACCCGGAACTGGATGGCATGCTTTGGGTTCGAATTCGTGTCCATATTCATGCAAGTTTATCTTCTGCTGTCCAAATCGAAGTGCCTTCCGATTACCTTTAAACAGTTCTACTTGCATACCAAGGACACATGTATAGAATCTGATTGATGATTCAATATTCTTAACAGTAAGAACCAAATGATCCAAAGATTTAATATTCATCGTATTGTAGTTTTAACTTGTAATTATTTCAATGCTAACAGTATAGTGGATCATTGTAAAATGGAGTTTTCACACTCACAAGCCTCGTTTAGGAATTGAGAGCAGAATTCGGTTGACTCATATCCATTGAGGTTTAATTCGTATTAAATAGTCGATAATCAGAATAATATGAGAACATTGGTACTCAATTGCTAATTTGAACTACCATAAACTCGACACTTTTTTTATCTCAGTCGAAGAAATAAATAGTTACTAAATGCAAGCGATAAGAATATATGTAAACTAAAAAACTAGATAAAATTACAGTCATTTCTGAGAACACTATTTCATATTAAATTCAAGTAGTGATACAGACATTTGCATTGGTGGAATATCTAATCGACAATTCAAACACTTACAGACCGCTAGCCCACTTATAAATGTATCCTATTTATATCAATGGACCTTAATAATCTTAGAACATTAGATTGAATTTGAAACAGTCTATTGTAAAAACCTATTCATTCATACGAGATAGGTATCACTCAGGATGATTGCTTTGTCTTCTTTGTATCATAACTTGTTACACCAGTATCTTCATCTTCGCTGTCAGTAACTAAAAATGCGTCTGAATTAACGGGTACGTCTGAGTTTAAAGGTTGCCACTTCTTGTTCGAATCGATATAACTGTCAGACTGGGTCGATTTCTCCCTATTTGCTAGATCTCCTTGACGTTTAGGTAACGAAGGTGCATCTTGTTCGTCTTCATCGTTATCCTTTAAGTTAATTTGACTATGCAAATCGTTCGAAATAATACGTGGATCTTCATCAAAAGTATTTTTCTTGCTCTGCTTTGTAAACGACGATCCACCCAATGCACCAAAGAGCTTAGGATTTTGCGATTGCGATTCCTTTGATTGTATGGCATCATCAGTTGGTTCCTGAAATTTCTTAGCTAAACCACTGACCCAACCATTCAACGTGGTTCTAGCTTCTTCGAATCCCTGGGAAAAACTCTCCTTAATTTGGCCAAACTCGTCAACACTATCGTCGTCTGCGTCCTCTGGTTGAGATTGTTGTCTTCTTCTTCTTCTCTCACGATCACGATCATGATGCTGGGCCCTTCTTCTCTTGTCCTCGAGCTCGAATTCTTTCTGCAACTTTCTTGCTAATAATTCATCATCAGTCAATGTATTCTTCTGGGTGTGCACTGGTTTACTTGGTACTGGTGGAGCCGGTTCTGGAATTTCTGCCTCAACAGAAGGATCAGAGATATATAACAACGCATTGAAAGCCGGATCTGGGTTACCTTGAGATGCAATCAAAACTGCAGTAATAATCTTCTCCTCGATGTTGGGGAACGCATCTTTCAAGTCCTGCTTAATTTGTGTTAATGGTGAAATTGGTCTTGGAGGTGGAGCTGGTGCATCTTCTTCTACATAATTTCCCTTGGCAGTTTGACTGCCCTGCTTTTTATCATCTTTGGTACTAACATCGTCATTTTTATCAGTATCGTCTTTCTTGTCTGCAACTTCCTTCTTATCGACACTGATTGCTGCAGAGCTATCAGTGGCGTTGATTTCACTCTTTTTATCACTAACTTCGGCACTTTCCTCTTTTTTATCGGTCACTTCAGTAGATTCCTTGCTCTTTTCTTCATTTTCTGAGGTTTCTGTAGCATTAGTCTTCGCTCCACCAATTTCTGTTTTGTCTGCTTCATCCTTCACTTCGGTCTCTACTCCCTTCGAATCTTTCAATTTATCAGCAACTTCTTCAATTGAATTAACTGGTTCTGAAGAGACAACATTCAATGTATCTCCTGTCGATTTAATGTTTTTCTTTGCCATATTCTTAGTTGTTATATGTTAAGCAATTATATGGTTGATTAGCTCCTTCTTAACCTAGGTATAATCGTAGATATTGGTGTAATATAATTTACTTAGATAACGCGTATTTTTCAGTACTAAACATCATCACCTATATTTTAGTCGAAGGAACCCATAAAATTTTTATGTTTTAGTTTTCTTTCTTTGATAGTATTTATAATTAACTCCGAAGATTAGCTAGAGCTTTATATTACTTTCTTCAATTAGTATAAAGTGTGGACAGCGGAGACATAACAAGACAATAGTCGGTACTTATAATTCAAATCTAGCCTTTCCGGGTTAGAGTTTTTACGTGCTTAAAGCTAGGCTTTAAGGATATAAATTATAGGTTCTACAATTGAATAATGTAGTCTAGTTAGATACCATAGCTTACGTAGAGATGTAGTTGATCACGAACAATATTCAATTCGTAATAGTCGTTCTAATAATTTTATTATGAATGAATATCTAAGATATAATAATATAAACAAAAAGGTGATTAAGATAGTGACTTTGAATTCATAAAGATAATATAAACGGCGAAATGATACAGCTTATGTATGCTTCTCGATATGAATTTATGTATATTGTAGCCTGAGGCTATCGTGGTGAGATTAATGGCATAATAATGATCGTAACTTTTTCAATAGCGAACATACTGTCCTGACAAGTCCATGCAATTACTATCGTCGTCCATTAATGAATGCTTGCTTATTGTAATTCTGCTCTTCTCTTTTCTTTTGCTTGTTCTAATTCCTTTTGTCTTCTTATGAAATCCAAGTTTTCACACTCTTCCCAAGCATGTTTATCGTGCTTACAGTCAACAGACGAGTTGGCAGATTGTCTCTTAAGACATATGTGGTAAAGAGCAAAGTTAGCAGCACATCTATCTCTCCAACGCAATGGAACCTTATACTTTTGTAAATCTTCTTCAGAAACTATGATGATGTTAATATGGTGTCAAGATTGGAAAACAAACCAAATCAAGAAAATATTTTCTTCTCTTTGGATAGCGGAGCTTTTCTATACATACGAAGTGGTGGGAATTCAGTAACTGTCATATTGTTTATAGATTGGTTAATATTAAATACTGTAGTTGTACTATTGAATTTTTTATGGTAAGTAAATTTTATTCATCCTTATAGGCCAGTCAATAAGTTACACAAAATCCCCAAGAAAGTCTTAATATCTCTACACCATGTACTAAGGTACATCTTTGCTACTTATAATGAATCTTTGACTTCAATTATGTATATTATAAACTATGTAGTTCTTTGTAGGCTAGTGGTATGACCAAATGGTTGAAAAAAAAATAATGTTTAGAAAGAAAATTGCAAAATATAATTATTGTAGGCAAAACCAACCACGATGATACAGATTGAGTGTATTCAATGGCATACACTACAACACGTATATTAAGGGCCATAATCCATTTGGACAGAACTGTGCGGTTGTATTAACACTTATGGGATAATCCACCTCCAATACATATATTCAGCACGAAGTATGGTGAAATTAAAAAACCAATGGAAAATACATGTGCCATACAATTAAAATGTACCACAGCTTAAAAAACTTTAAAATGTATCTATCGTTATCGTGATAGTGAAAAATAACGGTCTTAAATTCCGATATGCAACCTCAAATTATAAACATACTAATCGTCTCTCTTGTTATTTCTTTGTACTTTCTTCTTTTCCCCATCTCTCTCATATTCTCCCTCTCTCGATCTATCGTATGCAATCTCCAACGTCTTATTTGTGACTTTCGAGTCTTTCTTTCAATGCTAAATATTGGCACTTGTAGAACTCATCCTTTGGCTTATTACAATATGATGTTCCCTTATCAAGACACTTATAGTAGTTAATCAAATGCGCAGCACAATGGTCCCTATGAAGGAATGGCACGTCATGGTCATCTAATTCTTTTTGGGATGCTATAATTGTTAGTATAGTTCTTGAATTCTTCTAGGTCGTTTTAACAACGCAACTATTCCAAGCTCTCCGAGTTATCTAAATATAAAAACATACGAATTGGAGGATATTCATATTTTTCGGCGGCAGTCATCTTGTCTGTTGCTTCTATGCGTGATTTGACGGGTTATGGACTAGTTTTAAATGGTATATCTATTGAATAGTAAATTGAGATGATTCTATTGGCGATCGAACGGAAAAAAATCATTGCTTATGTAAGCGTGTGTATAACCAAAAAAAGACAAGACGTATCGAAAAAAAGAATGCCGGTCCCAGGAATCGAACTTGGGTTTCATCGGCCACAACGATGTGTACTGACCACTATACTAGACCGGCAGATTATTGTTGAAGTACCTAAACATACTTGTACATATATATACCATGCTCTTCGGCGGCAATTTAACACAACATGCATGCCAACAACACGATCGATGCATTAGGCGAGGAAATGGAGAACATGATAGACGTATGTTACACTTAAATAAGCGATGATGAGGCCACCAATTGTAAGACACATAGAAACATTGCCAATCTAGGACCACTAGGTGCTAACTTAAGGCGCAAGATGGTGCCCAGAAACAGTGTTCTGCTGCGGCAAACAAATTGCCGTCTGACCAACATCCCAATAGGCGGTGTAAAACCAGCATTGTTAGCCGGGTTGAAATTTGATCAAGACTGGAAACAAACTGAATGAAGATATAATTGTATTTTAACAAAAAGTACGACAATAAAGAGATCAAAGCAATATTTTCTCTACAGCAATTTTTATTGAAATTGTTATCAACGCAACCATTCATAACAGGTGAGCATACAAATCATAACTCGAGCACAGGCTGGAGCAAAAGCGCAAGTGCAGGTGCACTTTGTAATTCGTAAATATGAAGGTATTGCGCTTGATACAACGTTGTATACGAGTCCTTCGATAGAGATTACTATTGCAACATCAAAGTACCTCGGTGGGTTTTCTTGATTCCGCAGGGCCGCCAAATTGTATTTCATGCAAAACTAACCTTAAAACTACATAGAATTACGACGGCATGGCACTAGCCAAAATCGCAGTTTTTTATTCTAGTATCGTGCAGAATATGCATAGACCCGTACATTCGAATGATTGTTCGATGCGCATGAAATTTTTCAATCGGACGGGTATGCAACCGGCTAATACCCAATACAGGGTGGTTTCAGACGATCAGACTTGCATGGGAGGGGTTGGGGTCTGGAATTGGTCTGACAATTTTAGTAAACAATACATCGTCACCTTGTCAACCTTAGCTTATAGCACATGAATGTAATAAACTACCACTACTTATATGAATTTACCTTGTTAAAAAATGTCAACCTCGACAAGATTGTTCTGAACGGACATATATGCACGTGAAAATTGCTAGTCCCACACTTCGGGAGAAGTTCGATCTTGCACCCTTTGTTCCGAGCAATACTATTCATATATTCTCCTGATTGCAAATGCTTACAAACACAGGTTTTACCTAAAAATCAGATGAATTCTTCTGGGTAATGCCTGTATTACTGTATTAGCAATCCATCTACCTAATGCTTATCTCCTAACTCCGGTCGCACTTTTCAAAGTGCGTATTTTTCATTGCCCAACCGCTTGCAACATTACACTTGAGATAATTTATCTTGCTCGCCTAACTCTAATGATCCTTTCTAGACTTGCGATTATCCAACTTCCTCCTTGCATTGTATTTCTGAAATGGAGAAAAGAAGAAGGGAAGTTGTTCAAGCACTATGCAGTTTTGGTATATTCTACGCAGATTCGTGCGTATTGATGCTCGGATGGAAGCCTGTTGCGCAAATCTCAGTATAAATAGATACAATCATGACACAAATTAGCCACTCTGCATTACGACACCACACGGATTTATCGTCGATAGATGCAAATGATGAGATGTAGGTCCTGGAACAGCAAGTAACAGCAATAACCGTGTACGAAGACGCCCACCAGCATGTTCTCCCTGTGGACAAGTTAATTTTTGTATTATCTTGTGATTTGAGGGACATTTGATGTGCCCAAAAAAATGGCCAGAACTCGCCCGGAAGTTTCTTTTCTCTGATTCATCACTTACATGCTAAGGTTTGGTTTGCTAACATAAAAACAAACCCCTAAGCGATATCTTCATTCGAGCAAGTCAGATACGCGCTCTACATCTCTTATGCATATGTATAACGCGCCTTAGGATCCTCTTACATATTTACTAGGTCAGCAAAAAATTTTCTATTTTCGTCAAACGAATGCCTTCCATTTTCTTTACGGCTACTAAGAGGCAATTAAGGGCATATTATGGCCTGACATTTTATAGTGGTGTGCATATTCATATTATTGATCCAAAGAGTAAGCGAGGTTAAGTTTCCTAAGTGTAGAATTGCGCACAGGGTTAAAGGGTAAAGACCAAATTGCAGATGGTTTGTTAACTAAGTCACCGTGCGCTTCTAGCAATCATTCTGAAGCCAAACATAAATTGCAACGTACTCTTCTTCTTCAATTGAGAACAAAAGTAAATAAATTTTACTTCAGTATCCCAGGAGATGAAGGGCATAGAGCAGGGGATTAAGGTAGTGCAGGTTAATACCGCAAAGACACTCGATTAAGCAAGCGGGCTTGGGCGTATGCCCAAGTATTTTTAGCAGGAATCTTTATTTATATCTTCAGGACGGTATATTAGTCATAGATCGTATGTCAGCGCCTACCACTTGAGATTTCATGCAACAATAAGTTTAATCAAGCGACTAGATTCTGCGCTTAATAGGTATATTTCAGTTCTAATGCATGATTTCCTGTAAACAACCTAACGGATTTTTCTGTAGTATTTTACAGTGATAGAGATATTTAAGCCGACAAAATTCCACTTCAAATTTTGGAGATTTCAATCTATCAAATGAACTTTAGGTTTAAATTAGGGGAATTTATTTAATAACGTCAGGTTATATTTACTTATAAATATTATAGCTAAACCATTATAATTTTCATTTTCTATAAAGCTTTTCGTACCAAATAGCCTATATGGGTTCATTTGATACCAATGCAAGTTCAAGGCCTCGCATAGGCAAGAGCAGTGGAGAGCTCTCAAAAATTAATGTTAAACTACCTCCAATACATGAATTAGCTTCAAATTCCTCTTATGGGCATTCATCAATATCTCCTAGAATACCACACGGAAATATTCATCCAAATCTGGGTAACGAAAGTCTTGACAAATATAGATATCAGGTAAATTCTTCAACCCCAGCGTATTATGCTGGAAGTGAAACCAGGGCACCCATAAATTATACAAATAAAATATTGCCCACGCATAGTACTTCTTACTACGACAAACCACCACTGACTCAATACCAATACTATACATCACCCCCTACATTAACATATCCCCCTGTAGGATATCCACCACACCATGCCATGTATTATTCCCAATATTCTCCACAAGTGCCTACAATTGCTGGAAGCAATCATTTTGTTGCGCCCGAAGTTATAAATAAGACTAGTAACGTATGCCAAAGATGTGGTACTACTGAGACTCCTGAATGGAGAAGGGGACCAGGTGGTATGAAAACATTGTGCAATGCCTGTGGTTTATTTCATGCAAAATTGGTTAAAAGGAAAGGTGCTGCTTTGGCCGCGAAAGAAGTTTTAAATAATAAGGTCTGCAAAGGCAAGAACGGTCGAAGAATATCAATCAAAAAAAATTCTATTGATAGTGATCGCCTAAAGAATGAAATGTTTACTTCTTTGACAGCCCCTAATAGCAATGCTAAAAATAATACTTCGAATGTTGGTGAACTCCCAACACCACCTACATCTCAGTTCTCACCCGCTTTAATTCGTCATTAGTTTAATTCTACTCCTACTTTACATTATTATATTATTTATTATATTTATTATTACATGAACATAGCACAATTGCCGGTTGCAGCATACTCTGAAAGACTTTATTCTTAAACGGTCTGAAAACAATAGTTAATTATTAATAAATCTTAAATTTAGGTAGATATTTCCTTATTTCATCATGGAATGCAATGCCGTTCACATGTAGAAACACTGAGTAATTCAAGAGGAAATTTTAAAAGCGCTAAAACTTAGGGTATAGACTACCGAGAATAAGAATAAACCGTACACCTTACATATTTGAGGCGTAGCAATGAATGTCTATTTTTTATGTATATATTGTATATAGGATTAGAGAACAAATATATGATATCCATTTAATATTCGGTTGCTCAAGCGATTTCTATTCTACATAACTGAATTTTCATTTAATGCAAATCTAATTGATTCTAATACATCGTCATGAACTCCACCGGAAGGCTTTGCAACAATTGTGTCCCAATCTTCATCCTTGTAAACCCCTGTTCTCAACAATAATGATTCCCAACCGTTAATATTAGCCCCTAGAATGTCGGATGCAGGGTTATCTCCAATCATGTAGATCCTTTTAAAGGGCGAATTGGTCGGTTTTTCGTTCAATTTTGGTAAAACTTGATATTTTTCATCTGTCTTATTCTCTGATAATTTATTATTCCAGTCAATTAAAACATTATGGGCAAAATCGTATTGCACGGGGAACGGCTTACCCAAAATTTCTGATTGCAATTTCTCGTTTTCTTTCAAGCCGTTCACTTCCTTATACAAGGCTTCAATCATTATTCTTAACGCACCTTGTCCAAACCTCGGAAGCTTATAGTCATTTGCCCACAAAAAATCATTGTTGCTAAATACGATCGGAATTGAGGGTTTCTGCTTATCTTTAGTGCTGACATTGGACCTCTTTGTTCCAATGACCCCATTTTCTGAATTCAATAAATCAAGAATTATTTGAATATCTGTGCCCATATCTCTGGAATCATTAAATACCAAGATTGCGCTCACAGGCTTTTCTATATTGAGCTTTTCTGGACTTAACGCACACTCAAATTCCTCCGGAGTAATTCGATGATGAGCCGAAATAGAAGGATCAGCATTCACAATATCGACAGGCATAATCACATCTTTAAACCCATATTCACTTGCACACTTCCTCGCATTATCTCTATCTCCTCCTACGACCAACACCCTGTCGAATTGATTATTGTGCGCAAATGCTTTCATTGGAGTATGACTCTGAACTATTTGTAAAGGAGAAATAGGAACCCCAATTGAAGAAGATAAGAAACTAGCTCTAGACGACTCTGTAACACCACCTCCGTTAGTCAATAATATAAATGGGATCTTATATTTATTTAGTAATTCTAATGCTGGTTTAGCTGTTGGTAATGGTTTCGACCCCCGGAGTAATACTCCATCGATATCGAAAACGAATGCAATATCCGATCTTTGGAAAAATCTTCGAGTAGCCCCGTGTAAGCAACGATTTAATGGTTTAACAGTGTTAATTGGGCTTCTAACTAATAACATTCTTGATATACGAAGATTAAAGTAAGGAGATTCCAATCTAGCCAGTTTGATAAATGGTCATATTTAATCATGTGACTTCTGATGAACTTGGACCTTACGCTTATCTACTCATATAGAGAATAGTGTTTTACAACATCTTAGCCTGATACGCCGTATAGCAGCTCATTTGGTAGTATTATAACTATAAATCTTCAGTTAGTAATTGAAAAAAAAAAAAGAATTGTTTTGGACCCCTTATTTTTATCATGTATGTTTGTAAGACCTTTCCCTAGATATGACTAAATGGATAATAATTTAGTCAGTTTCTTTAGGCTACTTGGGACGCAATGTGCTTCCAAATTCCGACAAAGCTGTAGAAATATTAACTCTTAATTTTAATTTTAGTATCAAACTTTAGAGCATCATGTTTGGTATTATTTCGCAACCTTCAAGTCGGATATTTAAAGGGTCTACATACGTATTATTAATCTCGGAGACTGGTATTCGATACCACGTTCATTACGGAACAATACTTGTTGTCCTTGTGCTATGTAAGTGTATTATATATAATTTTGTAAAAACATTAGTATCTATAATTCAAGGATATCTGATATTAATGGTATCCAATTCAAATAATAAATAATGTCTATTATGCTGTTTGTTCTACAGACAACGATTGTTGTTGCAGACCTGGCAGGTTATCTTTTTCTATAGTACCGGCTAATTGGAGAAATGGCTCTAAAAGTGAATTGCTAGCAGAGGCACAACCCTCTTCAATAACCCATTTTTCATTCACATTAGGCTTTGCAATTACTTCACATGCATAACCAGTAACGAGTAATCCAGGAGGTCTTGATCCGCAAGCCTCGATTGCTTGAGCTACACTACTTAATGTAGTTCTGATAATTCGTTGATCAGGACAGGAGGCTCTTTCGATAATTGCAACTGGTAAATTTGGATCCCAATTTTTATCATCGATCAATTTCGGTATTAAATCGACAACTCTATGCAATGCCATCAAAAACACTGTTGTTCTGGATTTGATAAATTCTGGAAGGTTTGGTAAAGCTCCACGGCGGCCGGTGCCGGTACATATCAATACTTGATCGGCTACATCACGGTGTGTAGCTGGAATGTTTGTCAATACTGGTGCTGCTAATGCAGAAGTTATTCCCGGTAAAACTGATGGTGTGAATCCATGATCGGCAAAAAAATTGAATTCTTCACCACCACGACCGAAAATATAGGGATCACCTTGTTTTAATCTCACGACCTTTTCATTCTTCATTAAACTTTCAAGTCCCATATCCAATAACTCCTTTTGAGCCCTCTCAGCATTTCCTGGAAATTTACGGGCAATAAATAATTTGGTTCTATGTTTCGGTATAAGATCGAGCACCTGCTGAGGTACCAATTTATCAGCAAGGATTAAGTCTGCAGAATGAATCTCCTGCAATGCACCAAGTGTCAAAAGAGATATCGATCCTGGGCCAGATCCAACTAAAGAGATTGATCCCTTTTTGGTTGTCTTCAATTTCTTCTGGCTGGGTTCCTTTGGTTCTGTTTGAGTTTTCACTATTGAATTATATTCTTTATATGCAACGCTCAAATCTTCTAATGATAAGTCTGCTAATGTGCTCAATGGGAAATATTCAACGATTTGTGAAAGCCATCTTGTCCTCTGCAATTTTTTCTGTTCTTTGGTCATATTGAATTCCTCGACCAAAGAGTTCAATTTGCTGGTAGTTATGGCATCGTCATCGTGCTCTCCGATCGAGTCTATATCACTTTGTAATTTTTCTAACTCCAATTTGTCCTCCTCTTGTATATTTGCTCTCAAATCACCTATTTTATTACAGATAGTTCCGATATTACTTGGTAACGTATGGCTTAACTCTCTTTTGATTCTAGCAGCTAATTTGCATCCTTTGCCCAGAGTGCTAACCCCCATTTGGAAGTCCCCAGACGTAAAAGTAGATAACAATGAAAACGTACAAAATTCTGGAGAATCTGAAACATTCACTGGAATTCTTAATCTACGGCATGACTGGTATATCTGCTTCTTGACTTCGTACTGAGAAATAGGCAAGGTCACAAATACCCTATCCACAATATTATCTACCTCATTTCTTCCTAACCTGGAAAGATCGTCATTTTCAAACTCTTTCTCAATATACTTCAAATTACCATTAGCTATATTATCCTGTATTGATTTTGTAAATTTTTCAGATGGTTGGTTCGTTATAAGTACTGGTTTAGCACCTGCTTCAAGTATGGAGTTTATTCTTAAAGCCGCCACATTTGAAGCTCCAACGATTAAATAAACCTCGTCTGTGCATTTAAGAGACGCTAATAAGTTAGTCATGGTCAATAAACCCTCTGTTCTAACTGTTTGAAAAATTGCAACTTCTTGACCATATATAATGGAGTATTTAACCATTACCCAATATCACGTGAATTTGGCTACAAAAGAACTTTTTGATGAGATAGAAGTACCTGCAGTACCAATAAATTTTTTGATACCAGACATAAAGGTGAAAATTACGATCTAATATTGCAACCAAGGAAGAGAGAGACTCGAAAATGGCGCCAAAAAGACATTTAGGTTTAGGTAAAGCTGCAAAATCCAAAAAACAAAAAAAAGAAGATTCATCAGAGGTTGAAACACCCGAGCAACAGAGCAATGAAATTACTGTTGAATTGAACGAAGAAGCGGATGCAAATGATGAAGTGAGTCAATTAAGAGCATTGTGGAGGACGCATGCCAAATCGGATAAGGATAACGAGTTGGTTGTAAATGGAATAATTCACGAATGTGACAGATTATTGAGAAATTCGAACTTGGCCAAAAATAACGAAAGTGAAGACACAAGTAAGGCCAGCACAGACGAAAGTCCTAAAGAGTTACCAGCAGACTTTCACTCAATTTATGCGTTGGCATTGGCAGACTTGGCATTATTCCATACTACGGATATTAATAAGGTGAGAGAATTTTTCGATGCTGCATTGGAAAGAGTTGGTTTGGGATTGCAATCTCATGACGGTTCGATAGAGTTGTTGTTCACTAAAAGCAGGATTCTTATCAATCAGATCCCATTGCAATACATATCCCAATTAACTGTTGAATCAAAGGTCCAGGGAGGGGTACCCAAATTGGATGAAAAATTAGACCATGCATTAGAAATCTATGAAGAAGCTGAGAACCAAGCAAGAACCTTGAAACAGTATGAATTATTCAATGACGACAATTTAGAAATTTTGCAAGCATTAGATGATTTACTAGAAATTGTTGATAATTTCGGAAAGGATACTCTGGAAGGAGACGAGAGTGATAAAGAGGAAGATGATGAAGAAGAAGAGGTTCAGTTGTCAAAAAAGCATCCATTATATGGAATCAGAAATACTGACAAGTACAACGAATGGTGGAGAGACCATATCATTCAATTTTTGCAGAATGTTGATAAGCAATTAGAAAAGTTGGGAATCTCGTACAAGCAAGATTACGAGACTGAAAATGCTTTATTACCTCTCAGAAGAGAAATCTGTAAAAGAATTGGGCAATCTTATTTACAAGAGGCAGAAATCCCGTCCACCGTATTCACAACCCTTAAGTATGATGAAGGATTTGCAGATGTAGACCAATTAGAAGGATTGACTCGTGAACAATCCCAAAAAATTAGTCAGGATCTATTCAAAATTGCATTAGACTACTTGCAAATGGCCGAAGACAAGGAAGAGCCAGAAAGCTGGGTCAATGTTGCCGAATCGATGATTTCTTTGGGAAATTTGTACGAATTAGATAGCGAAGAACAAGAAAACTACTACACTGAAGCCGAAAAAATATTGGCTAAAGCCAACAATGCCACCAACGGTAAATATGAAGATATCTTGGAAAACCTACAAACATAGAAACCCTATGTATAAGAGTATTAAATAACAATAGATAATTAAATATATATAATGACATAAATCTAAATAGATCCAAGTACAATTAATATCCCGTAAATAATAAAGTCATAAACAACTAAACAAAAACCTAAAAAAGACGTTAAAGACATAAAAATAACCAAAAGTTCTAGCAGCCGCATCTACTATTCAGCGCAACTACCCCTTATTTATCAGTACATACCACGTTCCGTATACTCCTGGAGTTCGAAAAAAGTGGCCACCCTCCTAAACCTTACTGGTGATAGTTTTTTCATTCTGCAACTTCATAGCATTCTTTTCGTGTGCATTATCCTTGCAGAACTGCAATCCCTGGCAGAGATGGTCCTCAAGTAACCGGTGTTTGGCACAAAACTTGCCCTGGCAGTGACTGCAGTTTCCCACCATCCGTAATGGGGCCGCACTGCAGTTCTTGAACGAACACCGGTTCTTCTTCGTCTTCTTCTTAGCTGGCGCACCACTAGCTTCCCCTGAGGCCGCTGCCGCTGGTTGGAGTGCTGGCGACGATATAGGACTCGTCGACTTGGGTGTATCCGATCCGTCACTCATTAATATAACCACAATATCCTCCGCCCCTGGCACAATTCCAAACGTCTCCAACGTCTTGTAGTTCGGCGTAAGCTTCTCTCCGTTGTATATTAATTTGAAATCCTCCGGTATTTTACCACTAGGAGGACATGCAACCTTAGCACTATTGCGTAAGTCTTCTACCGTAGAGTTATCTGGTATGGTCACAGAATACGATATTTCGGTGGATGATCGAATGGTTACTTTCATGCTCAACTAAAATTATTTTGCTATTATTATTCTTTGATTTGTGTTGTTGTTAAATGACCTGAACCTTAACTAAAGCGGTACAAATCCTTGGTTTAACTACACTATAAAGACTACTTGCCACCTTATGATTGTGATTTTATATTCATGCGATAACTAATGTGTTATATACAGGCACACTGAATAATCGAACCGAGCTCAGGTTCGATGGAAAAAAAAAAGAAATATCCAGTACTTCCTATTGTCGACAAAATGATTCTGTCGGGATTCGTTACTTCATAAGCCCTGTTATAGGGTGGTGTATTCATTGAGAGGATTTAGGTGATTTTTTGTCATCAATTTCGAAATCTCAACTCCTGTATCGTAGCTATTAGGTCATTAATTATGTCCGGACTTATTTCCAGAAATATGTCCAGATATATGTCCAGACTTACTCTATTGCAGATCTATGGTTTTATTATGGCCTTTTCGTGACAGTTTCATCCAGTTCCTCTTTATGTTGGGGGGGATAGCCTCAGCGGTGATAGCACATCTATAATAACGCATAGTGATTGTGCTCCAGGGATGGGCCCTCCGATGGGTTATTATACGTGCGACGGGTTTCCACCGAAGCAGCAGCGACGGCATCTTGGTTATTGAACATTATCTTGACTTCTTTGGGCTTCTCGGCAGCAGGAGCGTACGTGGGAGTGTAGGTGGGCACTATAGTAGAAAAAGTGTTAGAAGGTGCAAATTTGGTGGCCTTAAATTGCAAATTGGCTGGAACAGGAGTCCCTAACACTACGGCCATAAAGAAGTATATTACCAAAAGCATTGTGTAGTAAATAGGAAAGAACGGAATGTAGTGAATAATTGGACATGAGATACTTCAAACACCGGAATGTGTGTGATTTATATAGCAGCAAGAGAGTTCCAATAGAAATTACCGTATTAGGAAAGAATATTGAAACCTGCTACAATCGCGAAGGGCGCAAGTTTTGAAGGTGTTTGCTACCATGGAAAGGGACAAGAAACCAAACATTACTACTCTGAGCCCCAGCAAAAGGGGGTACCTTGCTGTGATAACACCCATCATCTATAAGCATCGATCTAGACTTATGGTGAATAAATCGTTTCAGGGATTTGAATCGCGGCACAGTCGGCAGAATATAATACAACAAGCACGAAACATTTCCTCGAACTGCCGCGAATCGTGTATCCAATTGTCGTGACTTTATCTTCGCTGGCTTTATAACTATAACACTGCCTGCAACCATGCAGAGTATTGCGCCCATACATACTGTACTCCTACGTCAAGAACACCTATTTTTCAGTTGATACATCGCACATCGCTTGTTCATTTTTCTTCTCTAGGTATAGCCGCGAACTCCGTGAAGGAGCTTGCATATATTAGTAAACACTTATAAGATATACATAAACAAATAGCCAACGATCCTCACATTAAGGATTGTCTTGAGCAGTAAATTTTGATTTCATAGCGTTCCTTAAGCGTAACTTACTCTGCTGTAGATTGCTTGCATCGTTGGTGGCTTCGATATCGCTGGTGTCAGAGGAAGATGATTCGTCGCTTTCATCTTCAGCCTTGGATTCGTCATCTTCAACGTCTGACTGCAAGTCCAGGAATCCTGGAATGGAAAAAATTGGAACATCGGCCAAATTGTTAATGTTGAATGATGCAGACCTCAACAATGACATACTAGGACGGTTCACTGTGTTACTCACAGGTACGTTCTCAATATCTGATTCGGACTCATTAACATATTCGCTAGATTCGATGTTATTGTATTGACGGTAAAATTTGTCGAAGTCTTCAAACATATCAGGTCCATATGAATTGCAGAACTCGGTGACTTTTTCTGCCAAAAGAGTCCTGTTGCGCTTCAAATCTTCAATTTGGATAATATCTTTATGATGACTGAGAAGTGAATAGAATAATGGCTTTAATGACTTATAATAGTCTATTCCAATTTCCCCAATTCTCAACGATGCATACGTCGTTAAAACAGACCATCCGTAGCATACTAGAAAGATTATGACCGTTGGAATTTTGTCCTTGGTGATGTTCAGCTTGATAATCAAAAATGTTCCAATAATTGAGTAAAAAATGTATAATGAAGGTGCTAAAACTAGCGCAACTAAGATTTTCCACGTCCCTAATACGTCATTGGCTTTAATTTTAACCACTGAACCAGCTAATGCTTCCTTTGCTTTTTTCCTAGCTATTCTTCTACCAACAATAAATACAGGTGAAAAGAGGAAAATGCCTGGCATACTTAAACCTAGGAACAAAAACACTTTGAATAACCTCGCGGAAAATGTGACAAAAGTATGAAGCCTATTGGTTTCAGTCAATGATTCGACTTGGTGGTCATGTAACCCCATTCTCATCAATTTCTTATTATAATTACTAACAAGAGTTTTCATCTCAACAACATCTGGATCATTAGAATACTTTTGATATCCCTTGACTAATCTTCTATTCATTTCCACAACTAGAGGCAAGGGTATTGACTCCCTGTTTGAAGATGTATATAATCTTCTAGCCGCTTGTAATGCCATCAAGGTATCATAATCCCCACATGTCACTGTAACTTCCTTCAAGCCTAGGGTAATGACATCAATTAATTTTGCAACTGAATCTTTAGGGTTTTCCTCATATTTCTCTCCCAACTTTTTATCCACCTTTATTGGTTTACCGAATTCAATGACCGCCCTAGATCTGAATTTATGAGGATGAAAATAATTCATTCCAACAGGTATTATGTTTATAATGGCATCAGGATCTTCCGACTTGGCTGCCGCACCTAATGCCATGATCGCCACTCCTGGCTTCAACGGTAATAGATCAGGTCTATCATGTGAACCTCCTTCAGGAAACATACCTAATACATTTCCTCTATTCAAATGATCGAAAACATGTTGGAAAACGCTATTGTTATCAACATGGGGCGCTACTTTGTAAGATGTACCTTCTGTCAAGCGCTGTATACGTTTTTTGTCTGCTTCGTTGGGTTCAGATACGTTTATCTGGAAAGTTTTACGCAAAGTCAACTTAGTATCTGATTCAATAGATTCAATTACAGCGTTTCCTAACGATTCTGGCAATCCTATCAACCCCTTTTTCATACATTCCTTCGTGAATGAAGTACCTTCACCTACAACTATGGTGCCATCTTCTATGTCTTGAAGTTTAATTGTTCCCGTTCCTGGTTTAAGGAGATCTTGTGCTCTTTCTACTGGAATTGCCCCAGTGAATTTTGCCCCTGTTCCAATGAACTTTCTTCTATATGATTTCGCTGCCACCAAAAATGCAATCCGTCTTCTTGAGTATTCTTTCACAGAGGACATCACCACTATAGGGTCAATGAATTGATTAGCATGAGGTGCAATAACAAAAACTATTGCTCCCTTCTTAGGGATATTAAATGTCCCTCTGGACTTCACTTCTCTAAAAAATGTATGAATTACCGCTGAGAAGAACCAAAGCACTAAATCATAACTAATGATGGTCAAAATCCTTGTAAGTAAGCCATTTTCTACTTCAATCGTGCTTCTTTTACTATTGTCATCCTTCTTCTTCTCTGAATCTTTATCAGTAGTAACCATTCTGTGATTCTGTACAAATAATATAGAATTGATAGATAAGCAAGCAAGGATTCTGTCTTATACAAAAAATAGTTCTACTGCGAGGGGAGAGAAAGTAACGCCCCACTGAACCCAACACACTAGAAAGAGTGTTAAATATTTCGAACTATGTATTTACATATACATTATATATATGGTAGACTATATATGCTGGTACTCAACGGTGTTATTAGTCTTCACCGGCTGGTACTTCATCTTTCAAGATTTTATTGAGCTTCAATCTAAGCTCTGTCTGTTCATCACCTCTTAAAGCGTCTTTAACGAACCAAACGTCAACATCAAGCTGCACCATCTGTAAAGCTCCTCTCAAAACACCACACAATATCTGTGAGTACCACAATTCCTTGTTGATCTTACTATCGCTTGTCACGGGCAATTCTACAAACTCGGCCAACGGATTGTCCACCAATATCAACGAAAACGACTTTCCGTCCTGACTCCAGTTGGTCACTACGGGCTGCATGTTTAAAAATATCTTGAAGCCCACTTTGGAGATTATTTCTGCTGTTTCTTTGAACGTCTGGCATCTCTGAGCTCCCGTCTTAGCCACAAACTCTTCGATGAGCCTCAACCCTATATTGTATCCCATCTTGTCCAACTGCAGGTTCACCTCCTGGTAATTGTTATTATAGTCCCTACAGAGCTGTGAAACCACAGAACCATACGTCAACGTGAATAATTCGGAGTTCTAGTATCATTGTTAGTAAAATTGCCCAAATGACATTTCATGGCATTCGTCCCAAGTTTATCCCTAAAACATACTATTTTTTCCACGTTATTCTTCCATATATCATCGCTGGAAAATCTCGATGCCTTGGACATGTTCTATCTACCTCTTGTCCTGCTCTTTCTACGATAATGCACCTGGTTTTCTATGCCTGTGCTATAATAAAACTATGAGATTCATACTGCTACTGCAGATAATCCCCCAGCCATTTCGTCCCATACTTAACAGTATCTCCGTATCCTAGAAACCATGTCTACAAGTCACTCGGAGTTTATATCAGGCCCCCTAATCGACGTGCCATACGCTTATATCTATCTCTGCCTTTCTACAATGCCGAAGAAGTAGTCTTATTCGAGCAAATATTGCGATTCGGATATCCGTCGAAACATGAAAAACTACAACACACGATAGAGGTATGATACAACCGTTGAAAACATCGGCTTTGCTCCGATGTGTACATGTGATGCCCAGACAGAGTTTGTAGGAATGAATGTAGCTATTATATGACCTATAGAATGAATTGATCATACCGTCATGCTATCATTCCCGACCCCTAATAAACGCGAATTGTATGCCAGAAAAAAAGAAAAGAGAAAAAGTATACCAGAACCATCTGATTATTCAGATTATTCACCATATTATTACTTTCGTTTAAAGCATAAAATAAAAATAATAGCATAGAGGTAAACCTAGAGCATGAATAGCATACCTATTAATATGATGCCACCCGAGAATTTCTCAAATGTGATGTGGCAGCCCTATGAACCAGTGGTTAATCTCAGCTTGAAGAAGAACTTGATAGACGGTATACCGGATGGGGTTGTGGCATTGGTTGCGCCTATTATAGCATATTGGAGTTACGCCAGTATATTTCATATTATTGATGTTTATGAATTGGCAGAAAAATACAGAATACATCCTAGTGAAGAAGAAGAGGCCAGAAATAAAGCGACATTGAAGGATGTGATCAAGGATGTTGTAATACAGCATATCATCCAGACGATAGTGGGCGGAACATTCTTTTTGTTTGATCCACCGCAGACTACGGGCCACGAGTTGATGATTATGTGGAACTTGAGACAAAAATACGTGCCGTTATTCGTGCCGGATAATGTTGTTTGGGTGAGCTACATGTACGGATGGACGATTTTGAGGGTTTGTATTGCCATATGTATAATCGATACATGGCAGTATTGGTTGCACCGGATTATGCATATCAACAAGACGTTGTACAGAAGATTCCATTCGAGACACCACAGATTGTATGTTCCATATGCGTACGGTGCGTTGTACAATGACCCGGTCGAAGGATTCCTTTTGGATACGCTAGGGACTGGGGTTGCAACAATCCTTACCAATTTGTCTCATCGTGAATCGATAATCTTGTTCACCTTTGCCACCTTGAAAACGGTGGACGATCATTGTGGATATCGTTTACCATTTGACATTTTCCAGATTATTTTCCCCAATAATTCTCTCTACCATGACATTCACCATCAAACATGGGGTGTGAAAAACAATTTTTCCCAACCCTTCTTCACTTTTTGGGATAAATTGAACAAAACTGATTACAAGTTTATCAATGAATACAAATCGATGCAGGATCATATCACTCTTACGAAATATAGAGAATTTTTGGCTAACAAACAAAGAAAACCTAATAAAAAACCTGTTAATACCGAACCAGAAAAGAAAAAAGATATTTGACTCAAATCTCCACACTTTTTCATACATTTACATATACTAATGCTTCGTTAATCTAATGATTTAATAGTCCATAATTTAATTTAATCACACACTTAATATTATACCAATATTGTACAAAGTTTATATTTGCATCTGCACCTCCTACTTCTACACCACTCCCTTCGCTTTTAGCACATATCTTGACCACATTATTTACCTTTTGGGTCGTTTGCCAGAAAGATACTCCATAAAAGGTTGGTTCCTTTAATCACGTGTTAGATGAGTCAAACCCAGTTCCCACTAGTACTTAAGTAAACCCTTTGCAAAAGGTCCATAGATAACTCTATAGTCAAATAATCGAAGCATTGCACTATGTCCACATATTCTGAATCCAATTTCAACACAAAGCACTACAATCTGGCCAGGCCATCGTATCCTGACGAATTCTACAATACGTTAATGGATTATCATAATTCCACCAACTCTGCCTACGAGCTAGCATTGGATATCGGATGTGGATCCGGTTTCGTTGCTTTCAAGCTTCTTGATTTCTTTGATAAGGTCATTGGTACTGACGTTTCCAGCACTATGATAAGTCAATGCCGCAAAACGGCAAAGCCCAATCAAAATATTCAATTTCTTGAAGGTGCTGCAGAACTCTCTCCTCCTGAGATCCAGGAGAACTCGGTCGACCTAATTACCGGTGCTGAATGCTGCCATTGGGTGGACCACGACAAGTTTTTCAAAGAATCCTTCAGAATTTTGAAACCGAGTGGAACCTTGGCATACTGGTTCTATAAGGACCCAATATTCGTAGACTACGATAAGGCCAATGAAATATATACAAATTATACCTATAACTCTTCGTTGGAAACCAATAAGGACGATACCTTCGAGAGATACATGGGTCCTTATTATCAGCAGCCAGGCCACGACTATTTGCGGACTTTATTGAAAGAAATTGATGTTCCAACAAAGTACTTCAAAGACGTCGTAAGACACGAATACGATCCGGTATATGAAGGGGCCGATTCTACGAAGACGACCCTCTATATTTCCAAAAAGATCACTCTTCCTGTATTTTTGAATTATGTCAAAAGTTGGAGTGCATATCATTCCTGGATGAAGGAACATGGTGACAAATATGACGTTGCTGAAGCATTTGTTGAAGAATTGAAAGAAGCAATGGGCTGGGATGATACATTTGAATTCGAAGTAGTCTGGGCTACCGTTTACACGTTTGCTAAAAAGAAATGATCATCCACTTAGAGTACTTAGAATTACATTAATAAGGCTAATATATATTCACGTGACAGTTGATCCATTTATAAATTTTTAGTAAAGGGCCTTATATAGGTTTGTAACGGTTTAGTAAAATGAAATGCACTTTTATATAAATATTAGAAAATCCTTGTTTGTCTGTGACCTGATTACGAATAGCCAAAGGGTATTTATATGAGAACAGATTGCTTCAAGTGGATTTTCGTTTCATTTTTTTTAACCAGTTATTTTACAATAGGATTTCAAATATCAGATAAACAAATGTCGCTTAGAACAGTCAGAACAATTCTTACAGCTTTTGAACAAGCCGAAGGTGTCGGTGCCAAGGTCCGTCGTTCCATTGGTACTATGAACATGAGAAACTTCAACCCATTCTTGATGCTCGATGATTTTTCAGTCAGTGCACCTGCTGGGTTCCCAGAACACCCCCATTTAGGACAAGAAACGATTACATTGATTCTTAAGGGTGCTGTTGCTCATGAGGACTTCACTGGATCCAAGGGAGTCTTGTATCCGGGTGATTTGCAATTTATGACAGCAGGAAAGGGTGTTGTTCATTCAGAAATGCCAGTTCCGCAGCCAGATGGATCTCCAACTGTAGGCATGCAATTATGGGTTGATTTACCGGAATCTTTAAAGGAATGTCAACCTCGTTACAGAGACTTAAAGAGTTACGAAATTCCTGAAGTCGTTGAACAAGATGGTAAATTACGTATTAAGGTTATTTCAGGTAAGTCCCATGGTGTGGAATCCTTAAAGGACTTGGCATACACCCCAGTTCACTATTACTACTACACTATGAAGCCTGGTTCCACTTTCAAACAGGACATGCCTAAGGATTTCAACTTTTTCTTATATGTAAGAGAAGGTAACAGCTTAGTTATTAACGGAGACACCAAGGTCGAAAAACACCGCAACTGTTTCTTCAATATGGATGGTGATGGAATCACGGGTAAAAACCCAGCAACCTCCACCGAAGACGTTGAATTTGTTTTAGTCGGTGGTAAGACCTTAGACCAAGAAGTTGTACAATACGGCCCATTCGTAGCAACTTCTCAAAACAGAATTCAACAAGCTTTCACCGATTACAGAGCCGCCCGTAATGGATTCGACAACTTAAGAACATGGGATTCGTTGATCAGCGGGGGTGTCACCGATGACATGGTGCGTGGTGAGTTGAAAGGTAGTGTTGAAGATAGAGAAAAGGAAAGATTAGCTTATTTTCATAATAAAGAATCCAAAAAGGATGAACTTTAAAGCTCTTCAATCAAATAAGCAAATTATAAAAAGAATTATGTATTTTATATACGATTGATATTATTAATATTATGTTTTAGTTTAAATTTGATTGCCGTGTAGTATGAATCCAGGTAGGAGAAACACGACTTTGGGAGACGCGATATATTTTGAACAGTGAAAATGATCTACTTTAGTATCAAATATATATTGTAAATAATGACCATGGATGCTTCAGCTGATCAAGTGGAATACTTGTCATCAACATTATTGAAGCAAAAAAGACCAGTTACATATCATACTTTAGCAAGAGAATTGAAGATTCATCAAAATAATGCAAAGAATGTCCTACATAAGTTTTACGCAGCGAATGGAGATAAGATACTGGCTTCTTTTATAATTACAGGCAAAAACAACAGTGGAAGCCTTATTAGATTATGCAAAGATGAAAGTTCCTTGGAGCTAGATATGAAGCTGTTTGAGAACATTCATAGTATTCACGTTTATAGTTTACAAACTAAAGAATCCCATATTACCAATGAAAATATTGTATTAGAAGAGTTGAAGTACAAAGTCGACCATACAAATAGTGAAGAATATTATAAGCTTGGAATGATAAGAGGACCTGGTTTGGCTGTGGTGGATTCGAAACTGGTGTCAACTAAAGCACCAACTGCTATAGCAAAACCCGCTGCTGCACAGGCTGGTTCTACTGCTGAGAAATCGACCAAACTTCCTAAAAGTACAGGATTAACGTCTGGATATGTTTCACGTAAAGTCAGTAATGATTCTCGATCATCTGATAGATCTAAAACTGATTCCATAACCAATTACACCTCACGCAAATCTGAGGCCACTAATAAACTATCGAAGAGATCACTGACCGCACCAACATCAGGATACCAATATAAATCAAGAAAATTGGAAAAACAACAACCAAGAGAAAGGGTGGTGATTTCTAATGAAGGTGATGATGAAGACCACATTGAGGAAGTGATCCCAGAGAAAAATGAGAACAAGAAGAATTTATCAAACCTCAATAATTTATTTATTGATGACTTCAGTGATGAGAGTGACCAAGAACCTAACAATGATGATAAAGAAGAACCGGTTATTATTAATGAGGAAGAACCTGCTTCAAAAGAACCTGAACCAAAAGAACCTGAAGCTACTTCAAAAAAGACTCCTACTCCAGCACCTCGAGCAGAACCTATTAAATCTGAGCAAGATACCGTTGATGAAGATGGTTATTTGACTTCATTTAAGTCAAACAATCCATTAAAGAATAAGCATGATAAAAAGAAAACACAGTCTTCTTTGATGAATTTCTTTAAACCTAAATAATCGAATTTAGTAAATATTTAAGCATAATATAATTTCGCAACTTTTCCCAATATTTAGTGAAAAAATAAAAAATCATATAAATTGTCAAACAGAAGCATGTTTATCAATTTCTAAACTAGTCTCTTGATCTGTTAGTATACTCGTCTCTCAGCCTAGAAAATCCAATAGCATAAGATACATATAATTTTTGGTATGATAAAACCGTTCAAATTTCAAAAATCATTTCCCGATTAGGAAGTATACGCTACCATAAATTCTTATGGGGCGAATTTGATTCCCCTTTAGCTAATTGCAAACTTAAAATGTGTTAATACATTCCGTTAACGATTGTAACTCTCGCTAGTAGTAAATCATTCTAAAACTGTCAGAATGTGGTTACGTTGTCAAATATAGGTGCAAATTGTATATTACAAAAATAGATCAGCCCGATTGAAGGGGCTTGACTCTCCTTAATCCTTAATTGTGACGAATCTGGACCTCAATTCATGTAGCTCATATAACCGCCCTGAACGACTCTTAATATGGAAAACACTGTTGACTCTACATTAAGGTACTTTAAATTCGTTTAGCTCATCGATGTAGGCCGCACGTCGTAAATATCAATAAATCAAAAAATTTCCGTATTAGGAAAATAAGATTTTCTCAATAAAGTAATGAAATATACGAATTTAAGTTACATTAGCTTACTACTTCTAGTAATTTATTTTGTTTGTATATCAAATTACTCCATAATCTTACTACTTTCAGTAATGGTTTGTACTCTTAGAGATAAAAATTGACTATAAATGGTTTACATTAATGCAATATAGATTTTAGGCGAAATATATAAGGTGGCTTGCTCCCAGGCTTAAACTATTGCCCCAAACTATTAGAAAGTCTTTCTTTTAGTCTAACCGCATTCTATTACTTATATATCAGATTCCATGAAGGTATCAACTACTACACTCGCTACTGTCATAGCTTGTACTACTGCTGTTAGTGCAGCTCCAGCTACTTATGAATCGTCCGTTCAAAAAAGAGCTGATACTAATGAATTAGCTGAAGCCTTAAGAGAGCTTCAAGCTTTTAACGCCAAAAGAGATACTCTCAGCAACCACTTAAACAAGAGAGAGTATGAAATTGTCACAAAAGTTTTAGCAGCTTTAAACGATACTGGCATGGCTCCAAAGGTTATTAATTATCTTGCTACAAATGAGAACTTGCAACCTGTTGTCATCAAGACATTGGTGGCTGTAATTAAGGCTGGAGCCATGAATTTGACCAGTTTATTCAAGGCATTAGATGAATCTAATTTAGTTGGTAAAGTTCTTAACGATCTTATTTCGGATTGTCAATTATATGTCTCGTTATTCAACACTGCTAAAAAGATAATTGCTAATTTAGAACAAAAAGTTGAAACTTTAGTTAAGGAAGGAATTTCCAAGTTAACTCAAAGAGATTTAGAAGTTATGCAACATCAAACTAGATCTACATCGCAATTACAATCAGCTGATATAGACTTTGACAAGAGAGGTCTTGATGATGTGGTTGTTAATTTATTGGATTCTTTAGGGCAATCGGGATTAGCAAGTTCTGTTGTCAAATCTATTATTACAGACCCAAGTTACGGTCCTTTTGCTGTCGAATTGGTTAAAGAAGTTATGGCTAGTGGCGCTTTGTCATTATCTCAACTTATCAGTGCCGTCAAGGATTCTAACTTAGTCGGTGATTTGTTAAAACAAATTTTAACTGTTGATACCTTCAAGACTGTGGCAACCAATGCTTTTGCTGCTTTCTTCGGTAACTGTCCTGGTGCCACTTCAGTTATTTCTGTGAGTGGATCTACTGCTACCAGCTCTTCCGGTAGCTCCGGTTCCGGTTCCGGCTCTGGCTCTGGCTCTGGTTCAGGTTCAGGTTCTACAACTGTGAACCCATGTAAGAAGAAGAGAAGAAGAAGATCTTACAACTATTAATTTAACTCATTTCCCATCACATATCCATTACAAAACTAAAATCATAAAACAGTTTTGACAACTTGTTTTAAAAATACCATTTTCATTTTCTGTTTCGTATTAATTAATTTCTGAATTTTTATATGTTACCATATCTCCATTTTTTCGTCTTTAAAATTTAATATTGATAATATAAGTATATCGTATAAGGCTTAATGGAACCCCTGGGTCTTCGAGTTCTATTTTTGCAATTTCAAGTGCGACGTAATTTTGTAGCAAAAAAACTTCCGAATTAGGAATTTTATAAATACTCAGAACAATATTTACATTCTTAAGTTTATTGTGAAATAAAATAGACGAGAAGCAAATCTGTAAATTATAATTGTGTTGACTAGACGGTTGATGTTCTTGTTACCTTGTTGTCTTCGTCATCGAGAAACTTTGATAGAATTAAAAAAAGCTATTTTGTATGGCAAGTGCAACACAAAGTTCCTGGCATGCCCAAAGAAATAGTGATCAACAGCATAATATGACCGATATAACGGAGCCTAAAATGTTAAGAGAAGAAAACATTAATCTTCCGTCTCCTTCAAAATCGTTACAGGGTACTCAAATACGTCGAGATTCATCGAATTCCGTAGAGAGCATTCAGAGCATTAAAGTAGAATACGAATCGTTATCAGATGCCCGCAAGGAAAATAAGAAGACACCCAAGACAGAAAATATAAAATCAAGAAACGGAGGAATAAGTAGCTTTTTAAAGCCTAAGTTTTTAAAGTCAAGGTCATCTCTTACTTCTAGCGGTAGTATGGAGAATATAATACGATCTGAATCCAACTTTACTACCAAACAGAGACAATCTACTATTGAAGATTTTGCTGATACATCATCAGAAGACGAGAATTCAAGACAGTATGTTTATGATGCCGAGTCAATTAATTCTATTCTAGAGGAATATCAAATGAGAAATTCGTCATATATTAGTCCAACTAAAAAAAATGATTTTATATTCAAAGAGGAGTTCAATGATTCATCGGAGCTGAATAGATCGAGATTATCTAGCACAAGCAGAACTAATTCAACAAGAAAAAGTATACATACTCCTACATTGATATCCAAGGCCACTCAAGTTAAAAGAAATAATCCAAAGTCTTCCATTGAGCGGACTTTAGGTAATCGTTCGAGTCACAGTAGCTCTGGAAACTCTTCATCACCCGGCGCATTTTATGATTGTTCAAAAGCCAGCAATGGCACTAATAGTGATAGCTCAAGCTCATCCAAATTTAAGATATACCCTGATAAACAGAATGATGGTGAATCAGACAAAAGGAAAAAGGTTGATAGACGAAATATTATAAGTACATCTTCAAACATAGATGTATTCAATAGGACATCATTATCTAATTTGACAACCATATCTAATATTGATTTTAACATGACTGATGAAAACAAATACCCTGCATCCAACTCATCTAATAGCCATAGGCAAAGCAAAAGACAAAGTGACAATCGTTTTCTATTTGATGCCTCTAATAACATATTAGAATCTGAATATGATGAAAATTTTGATTCAAATGTTCTGGAAAGAGTCCTTCGACCCAAAGATAGAACAAGCATTTTCTCCGAAAGGTTTCCGAACACTAGCCAAATCAACATGGATGAAACAGCTATTAAAAACACAACAAAAGACGTAACAAGGTCGTCTATGTCTACAAATGAATTGCTATATAAATTAGAAACATTTTACGATAATGATAATGATAATAATACCCGAGAGTCAATCTCTAATTCAAAGGAATCAAAAGGCTTTTACGATTTAACTGCTGGTGTTGACTCTAAAACAAAACTTCCAGTAATGCTTTACAAAGTACAGGATAAAAACTACATCGAAAGAAACAATAGGTGGTCAGTAGATGAGACAACTCAAAAGATCCTACGCTCGAATACATCTCCAGCATCAAGTCTGCAGAATGTAAGTCAAGAGTGTATCTCAAAACCTCTCGCTGGATCCAGTATACCACTCCCTGAAACATCAAAATCTCGACTTGGGCAGTATGCATCTACAGCTAGCTTAACTCTGGCAAGAAGAATGCTATCGTTGAATAGCGTCTCATCTCAAACCCATGGCTCTAATATCCTTGATGAAAAAAGATCATCGCCCTCACTGCGTGATATAGCTAGTTCTAGAATTCAATCTCATGGTTCCATAACACAGTTTACTCCTAATAACTACCTACAAGACACCTTATCGAAGAATAATTCCCATGAGCATATGCTCAATAACACCCCAAGCACCAAATACAATGCAATTGATTCTTCGTACGAGGATCTAGAAAAAAATGATCTCAAGCCTCCTATCAACCACATGCCTTACAATACTCACTCGTGGCCCCTTTTCATATTGGTTATGACAATTGGTTTGGTTGTCCCGCCGATATATATCTTGATTGCTGTCGGGTTCTTTGATAATAACACTTACTACCGTCAATACAACCAACAACTGACTTATCTTGTGGTTAATCCCAATCAAAACAAAAGATTTTCTAAAACTCAAAAGTTAGTCAGCTTCATCATTGGTTTAGTATGGTTATGTATTGTTTTGGCTATGATAGGAGTGGGTATTGGTATAGGTATTAGCCGTGAAAGTTAGTTTAACAGCCAATATATACTATATAGAGAGATTTTTGTAATTATCGCACGACCATCAATGTACTAGCAAGTTTGACACAAGATCATATAACTGATATGGGGTAACTAGAAGTTCAATTACCATTATTGTATAAACGGCTATTTATTGATGTATAATGGGGAATGTTCCAGCAAAAGAAGGAAGAAGTAGGTCGAGTACCCATTCTTCAGGAACCTCGACATTGAATACTGATTCACTAGCAACTAGGTCAGGAAGAAGAAATACCGTATCAAGTGTATTTTCATCAAATTTAATTGATAGTAAGAAAACTAAGAGGCAGGAAGAGAAGGATAAACAGAGGGAAATACACTATCTAGATTTAATTGTTCGATTTAATGAAAATGTTGATGGCGGGTTTTTGGCCCCTTACGGAACCTACAAGTCTAACTTGGATTATGATACAGAGGTAGTGAGGAGATTGATAATCAATCGTCAGTTGGCACCCTTCTACACCCCGTTGCAGGATTTTGACGATAATTGGTCGGATGAAGAATTAATTATTTTATTGTCTCAGTTAAGTTTACATTCGATAGAAACAGCATATTCAGATACGGAAGAGGACGACATGGATGACCATAAAATCCATAAGTCCACCAATTTCTTCAGAAGGCAAGAACAGAAAGCAAAGTTGATTTCGTTGATAAATAGAATCAAGGAGATCCAAAAATCGGAAGAAAATAGGTTTTTAGAAGAGAAATTAAAGGCTAAAAATGGTGGAGCAAACGTATCGCCTGATATACCATCAAAGGACTTGTTGTTGAAATTATATCGCAATGCGTCTGAATGTCCAATTTGCTTTTTGTATTATCCACCACACCTTAATTTAAGTCGTTGCTGTCTTCAACCTATATGTACGGAATGTTTTGTTCAGATTAGAAGGCTAGATCCTCATCCACCTCATGATGATAGTTCAAATGAGCCAGGATCGGATTCTTTACCGCATACTTTGATTTCTGAATCGGCAAATTGTCCATATTGTGCAATGCCTGATTTTGGAGTTACATATAATATTCCGACTGATATTTGTACTGGCATTAACGGGAATAAACCCCACTCCTACACGCTTCCTTTTGAAAGCATCCCTGAAGATACGGCAGCCATCTCTACGTCACCAGGAGAAATCAAGAATAATGACATATCGACTGTTAAACCTACTAAGCCAAGAAGAAGGTCCTCGGTTGCTGCAGATTCCCCGGGCGTAATAACGATAGACATGATTAGACCTGATTGGGAACAGAAATTAATATCAGCGAGAAATAAATTAGCTAGAAAATCTGCTACTGCAAGTGCTATACACGCGTCGAACTTATTGATTAACGAAGGGCAAGAAAATGATTCATCGAGAAGGTATTCGTCTGGAGATAATGGAAGAAGATCTAGTAACTCTGATTATAAATCAGTCGAAGAAAGGATGATTGAGGAAGCATTAAGACTTTCCATTCAAGATGAGGAAGAACGGAAAAGAAAGGCAGAGATAGAAGAGCAAAGGAAAAAACTGGAGAGCAAATAATTATGATAGATATTTAGTAAATATTCAAGTTCAAATATATGTGAATTTATGTAATTACTATAATTAGTCCGATGTATTATTCCATACTTATAATCCATTAAAAACATGTGTACTACAGAACTAATATTAAATATGCAAATATAGTATTTTTCTTCGAAATGTGTTACTTCTTGCCTAATTCCTTTAGAGTGTCCGCTAAGATGTCTCTCAACTTAAACAAATTTAGGATTCTTAATTTTTCATCCTTTAAATGGGCATTGTCGCTCGCCTGTCCACAAGGAATTTGAGCAGCACATGCATCAAAACACTTCTCTAAGAACCTAATTGAAGGAATGGTACCTCCTTCACGAATGAATAGAGGTTCAGGAACATCTGGTCCCCAATTCGAGCGGATTTTGTCATAAAGAATTTTATAGACTAAGTTATATGGGTCACCAAGCCATGGTTCAGCTTCATGAAAAATGTTTATCAGTAAATGATTATCGGTTTCAAGTTTATTAAAAGACTCGTTTAATGTCTTAATCAACAGTTTCTTAATTTTTTCTAGATCCTGATTAGGAACAATACGAATCGAAACAGATGCTTTAGCCAGCTGAGGAATAACTGTATTATTATTTGGGCCTGAAACTTGAATGTTATGAATAGTCAAAGAAGGATTTCTCCACTTTGCCATTAACGATTTAAAATCTTGATTCTTAATATTCTTCATTGTCGCTGTGTTCTCGATCTTTTGGTAAATTTCTATTTCTCTGTCGCTTAATGATAATACATCATCATAGAAATTAGGAATATTAATATTGTTATTAAATGGATTCATCAATTGGCCTAAAATTTGAATCAAATCCATTGTTGGCTCTTTCAGAACTCCTCCATCCACACCAGAATGCCTGTCTGGTTTATCCGAATTTATTGTAATAGATGCATTAATAACCCCTCTCAAACCATAGTTAAGGCATGGTGTTTCATCGTCAAGCCAATATGAATTAGATAGCATAATCCAATCTATATCTCCGATTAATTCCTTATTCTCGTTAATAACATCCTGAAATCCAATAGAACCACATTCTTCTTCACCTTCGATAATAAATACAACATCACAACTAAGTTCCCGGTTGTGAAATAATTCGGATACCGCATATATGGCAGCCAAAATAGGACCTTTATTATCCGATACCCCACGAGCGTATAAATTGCCATCTCTTGCAGTGAGGCAAAAAGGATCAGTAGACCAAGAATTTGAGTCCGCCGTTGCATCAACAACATCGTAATGGCCATACCAAAGAATTCTCTTCGCTTGCTTGGGCTTATCTGGTGAATTACTTGAAAAGCATGAGTAAACAACAGGATTACTATTAGGAACTGGCAACAATTTAGTTACAGTTGCACCTAAGTTTACTAATAAATTTGTCAAAAATTGAGAACAACGACGTGAATCTTCTAAGTATAACGCAGGGAATTTCAGAATTGTTTTGTACGAAATGAATCTCTTTAAAGATTTGAGCAAATTCTCGTTATCCACTAAATTTGACAATAAGCTGTTACTATCTGAAGAATGTCTATTATTGCTCCCTAATTTGGTGATATCCCAAAGGCATAATGCTTTATGGCCACCAGAAACCAAGTAAGTGACGCCTGACGTAGAAGTAAAAATTTTTACCGCAAGCACACTTCCATTCTCAACGCTAGATTTGTTAAATTCTGAATTATAGTTATCGTCTTCTTCGGTAATAATCACCAGTGATGATCTGTCTGGATTAAGGTTTCCATATTCACTAGGAGCTATACTTGTAGGATTTGTTTTCGAGGAAAATTTTATTAGCCCACCTAAATTTGACGCTTTAAAAATGCAATCATTATATATACCCAAGCTCAAGACTTCATCATAATTATTTTTGGCTTGCTGAGAATTGGAAAAATGAATCGACCGAATTAACTGAAATGTCATCAAGTCCCAAACATTAATACATGGTTCTGATAAGCCAACATATAAGTAAGAATCTTGAATAGTCATTGATAAAACTGATTCGTTGTTCCTTAATACTTTAAGCTTTTCAAGCGATACTTTATTATTAATAGAGCTGGCACCCCAGATTATAACTAGCCCATCACCACCGCCACTAATCAATAAATTTTCAAACTGTGTTGCGTAATTTTTAGTAAAATCATTCGAAGTACCTTTAAAATCAAAGTGATTCATGCAGTATACGTATCCATTATGTGCAAATCTAATAATATTATCGTTGCTGACTTCAATTAATTTAGGCGATACGCTATTCGAAGTCTCAAGAGAAGTCGACTTTAAAATTTGGTGCTTTGATTGTAAATTATTAATCGAGCCACCAGGTCCCTTTGAATCAAAAAACTTGTCGTATCTAAAATGTGGTAATCTATCAATTGTTGATTGACTATCAGAAATGCTTGACGAATATAAAGATAATTTGCACCATAAAATAGAGGCGTTTTGAGCTCCTATGAATAATGTCGATAAAGAATCAGACCAACATATTGAGAAAACATCACCTATATCGACAAGCAGATAAATAATATGGGTACAGTGTATAGGATGGTTGGCATTGTTATTAACCATCGATAAATCCCACACCTTAATTAACGAGTCAGATCCCGCACTGAATAAATAATCCTCTGATTCGTCTATCGACAAGCATAAGATTGATGCTGAATGGTCTGAATTGCCACATTTAATTTCGTACTTTAAGCTGTAATTAACGATGTCGAATACTAAAATCTTCGAATTCTGTGTTCCACAGAATATCAAATTACGTCTAGGGGATGGGACGACACATAGTATCGAGTGTGTGTGTGACCATTTATGGATAAGGTTAGGGAATCTGTCCACTGGAGTATTTGTTGAGTTATCCCGACTCAAACTAGCAACAGTCAAATTAGGTGATTTGACAGGCGTCGGAATTCTTGCTGGTGTAGACGCTGACGATCCCGAGGTACTATTTATGGGTAGCCGTACTCTAGCGGGAATCGGTACATACTCCGCTTCATGAATGTTTCCGTTAAAAGCCATATTATAGTCTGTACCCTTTCTTCCTGTCTGGTTTCCTTTTCGTAGTCGTCTAAAAATTATATCATGATCTCACCGATTTGGTTGGAAGTGCGTCATAATGTCGTACGATACTTAATTATCACCAAATGTCGTAAATGTCTCTTATAGCTGTATTCATTCTATGTAGTATCTCTCCACATCCCCATCCTTATTCAATCTTTCGCCCCCTAGACTACCGATCACAAAAGAATGTCCTTTCTTAACAATAATGTCAAAGCGAAAGGAAATTAGATTTTCCAACTTCGAGTTATCTCTATATATGCGTCTTGGGTGCAATCTAAACCACCCTTCTACCATCTCCTACATTATTTACTCTCTTACAATTCGATACTATTGTTTACTTTACTCCAGCATATTACTAATCCCGCTCTGTTCATCTAGGCGTCATTCAAGAATTTACACCATTTTTCGGAATGCTGCAATTTGCTCCTATTCGGAATAGCTTCTTGATATATGCAGTATGATCACCATTACACTTTCCGTCTTATGACAATACAAATACGTAGTTGTCTTGGTACTGCGTGACAGCATAGCAAATTCTAGGTTCATAATATTCTGGTTTACGGTTAGCCAAGTAATAAATATACATATGTACACCCATATTAAATCCTGTGAAAACATTCGTGCACCAGGATGTGCACCGATCTTGGCATCGTGGGCATCCCACGTGGTGCAATTAATTACTTAGCATGACAGACCTCTCCGCCCACTTTTTTTGGCCAAGAGCAAAACGTTTTCGAAGACGTTAGTTATCCGAGTGAAGCAAACCGTTGGCTGAATTAGGTATTCCATCACACGAGTCTAAACCTTAGATGAAGTTCTCTCACTCTCTTAAATTTAATGCTGTTCCAGAATGGTCAGACAGCTACATTAACTACACTGGGTTGAAAAAAGCAATTTATAAGCTTCAACAAGATCAGTTGAATAACCAACCACAAGATGGCTCAATAGTAATCAATAGAGTTAATCCTACAACTGTATCTGACTTGGTTAGTGAATCCAAAATCCAGTCACCAAAAACTAAAGCTGAAAATTCATCTGGCGATAAAAAATTTTCGTCCAGGTTAATTAGCAGGTTCAGAAAAAGCGGACAAGATGTTGACGATGAGAAGGCTGTTGGAAGCTCAACTGTCGATGCACGTTTGTCAAACTTTAATGATTCGAAAGAAGAAAAAAATCGTTCGATCGAGTCATTCACAGTTGATTTGGATAATTCTACCATAGTTACATTTGACGAAGAGAAAACCAAGTATAATGATCAAAAGTCATTGAATTTTGATCCATTAAAAGTTTTCACCAAGCAATTATTGCTTGAATTGAGTAAAATTAACGAATTTTACCAGGGAAGAGAGCTGGTTGTATTTCAAGACTACGACAACTTGATTCGTGATTTGGAAAGTAACCATATAGACATTGATGAGTTATTCAAGACTACTCAGGCATACCAGCATGATTTTTGTCCTGAACATTGCAATAGAGAACCTGTTTCAAGAGTCGCTTCCAATTCTCATGACTATGAAAGTCATGGGTTTGAAAAGCAAAATGGCGGAGTAATTGAAGTAGAAAGAGATTCAGACGATGATGATGATGAGGATGATGATGATGATGATGATGATGATGAGACACATAGTCAGAATTCTGCTTTATTAAACCATACTGACTTCAACGTTAAACAGCAAAAGCAAATTACCTTGAAAAGAAAATCTATCAGTTTGTTCATTGCTCTATCTGAGTTAAAATCTTTCATTGAATTAAACAAGATTGGATTTACTAAGATTACCAAAAAGTTCGACAAGACATGTAATTACGCAATCAAAAGAGACTTCATTGATAACTTCTTGCCTAGTGCCTCAAGAACATTCACACCAGAGACATTGACGGGCGTCGATAATAAACTTAATCAAATTGTCGTTATTTATTCCTTTTTGTCTGGAAACTTGTCAACAAGAACTACAAAGCAAGATTTGGAGAATGTTAGAGTAGATTTAAGATCCCATTTGCGTGAACATATAGTTTGGGAGCGTAATACCGTTTGGAAAGATTTGCTTTCTTTAGAAAAGAAATCATATAATTTACATCTAGACAATGAGGCTACCAGGTCTAACAAAATGGGAGATGAAGGTTCTATCAACTTAATGCATTTAAATTGGACCAGATTAAATTTCCCTTTTGGTTTGAATATCTTTGGATACACTAATATACTTATTCCATCTAGCTTATTAACATGGCAGATCATCAAGCTTCTTGTTATCATTATTACTTTCGTGGTATTGATGTGTGTCAAAACATTTAATGATCGCGAACAGCATCGTTGTCTTGCGGTTTTGGTTGTGTCAGCTATGCTTTGGGCATCGGAAGCACTTCCATTACATATCACTTCTATGTTAGTGCCTTTATTGGTTGTTACTTGTAAAGTTTTGAAAGATGATGATGGTACAGCAATGTCAGGACCTGATGCTTCCAAATATATCCTTAGTACTATGTGGTCTTCGGTTATTATGCTTTTGATGGGTGGTTTTACATTAGCTGCAGCTTTATCCAAATATAATATTGCTAAAGTAATTTCCTCCTACATTTTAGCGATTGCAGGAACTAAGCCAAGAAATGTGTTAATCTCAATCATGAGTGTTTCATTATTCTTATCCATGTGGATCTCCAATGTTGCTGCTCCTGTTTTATGTTATTCTTTGATTCAACCTGTTTTAAGAACGTTACCTACTGAGTCCCCATTTGCGCAGGCTTTAGTCTTGGGTATTGCATTAGCTTCAAATGTTGCCGGTATGGCTTCTCCAATTGCATCCCCACAAAATATGGTTGCTATTGAATCAATGAATCCAAATCCTGGTTGGGGAAAATGGTTCGCTGTTGCATTACCTGTTTCAATTCTTGCTATGATTTTGATTTGGGTTGAATTAATATTGACATTTAAAATTAATACTGTCAAGATCATGGCCTACAAACCAATAAAAGAAAAATTCACAACAAAACAAATCTATATCAGTATTGTCACTGTTACAACTATCATATTGTGGTGTGTTTTATCCGAAATAGAGGGCGTTTTTGGTGAGTCTGGAATTATTTCAATTATTCCAATTGTTTTATTCTTCGGAACAGGTCTATTACAGAAGGAAGATTTGAATAATTTTCCTTGGAGTATCATCTTGTTAGCTATGGGTGGTCTTGCATTAGGAAAAGCGGTTAGTTCTTCAGGATTATTAGCTACTATTGCTACTGCATTACAACATAAGATTGAGCATTTCAATGTATTTGTTATTCTTATTATTTTTGGTATTTTAATTTTAGTTGTAGCAACTTTTGTTTCTCACACTGTTGCAGCATTAATTATTGTTCCATTAGTTAAAGAAGTTGGTGATAAATTACCACATCCTCATCCATTAATCTTGGTTATGGGTACTGCTTTAATTGCATCTGCAGCTATGGGTTTGCCAACTTCGGGATTCCCGAATGTTACGGCAATTGGTATGACTGACGAAGTAGGAAAACCTTACATAACGGTGAATACATTTATCACTCGAGGTGTACCTGCATCGTTGATTGCTTATATTTGTGTGGTGACTTTAGGATATGGTATTATGAATTCTTTGGGTTTCTAAAAGGTTACTAAATTTTTGTTAATAAATTTTTTTGTTTAAAAATATATGTTTGTTTCTTTACTTGTATGAATTGTTTTATTCGCTATAATTTAAATTCATTTACATATGTTCTGCATATTATTTGTATATAATTAAGACTACAAAATTTGAATAACTTTATGCTCTTTTTATTAGAGAATTGAATATTAGGTATAAAACGGATATATTATAGCGGACTAGAGAATAAATAATGAGCGATCTATTTAACAATCAAGTCAAATCACGTATGGCCGTAAAGATTCTTTTGGATATCTACGAAGACACCGTTGTCTTCCATTTGCTTAAAAATCTTTGCTAATGCAGGTGAATATGTTGGGTCTGTTAAAACTTTTTGTAAACTGTCGGATAAAATATTTTTCTTTTTAGCCTCTTGAAAATATTTATTGGTGTCAAGATTGTCAAAAACACCATTAGCATATAACTGGCCGATAATGTACGTTCCCATTTCTGTGATTTTAGGAGTTTCTACAACCTGCATTGCAATAGACACAGCGATTCCTGTTCTGTTTAATGCAATCAAAAAATCCTCTGCAGAACCTGACACTAAATCAGAACTCACAACTGTATTGATAAGATTGTTTAAGAATGTCTGAGCTGATCCAGAATAGTCATCAGCCCTAGCACCTAAAATAATTTGCTTACCCTCGTTCATGTATTGGTATTTAGGATTCTTGGTTTTGTAGTGTTTGACTGTATTTGCAATATATTCAACAGTTGGTTCTTGACCATTTCCTATGTCTGCCAATATTTTGGATACGTAGGCATATTTGCTGAGAACATGCCCCGTACGATCTGCAAGAATTTCTCTATTTTGGTCGTTCAAAAGCAAGCCGTCAAGTGTTGAGTTTATTATACCTGAACTTTTCACAGCATTAAGTATATTAGTTTTGTTGAATTCTATCTGAATACCGTCGAATGATCCACCCCCATTCTTGATCATATCTGTGGTCATGTTGACCAAGGTATTCTGTTCAGCCTTAGAACCAGCAATCTCATTCAAAACATCCATTATTATTCCTGACTCATTTACTTTTAAGAGAATTTGCTCCAACTGATCAACCCTAGAACTGTCACTTCTTTTGTTGACTTGCGAATCAACAATCAGCAGAAAATCCTCATATATGTCCTCTAATGATCTTTCTTCTTTGTTGTCCACTTCGTACACTTCTGAATTCGGTGTAATAGCCTGAGTTAAGCCTGGCATTAAAGGCATACATGTCAAAATTATCCTTGACAACCTCATGATCTTTATCTATCTGATATTATTTTCAAGTAATAAGGTATACGCTATCACTGATATAATAGTTTTCTTGCTAGCAAAATACTAAATTAATAGAGAACTATAGAGAACTTAATAGATTATACTAATATTTTTTTTTTTGAAAACTGAGATCTTCAACCATATAAGTTTGTTATTTGCTAGTTTCTACCAAGAGGAGAAATGCCATTTTTGTTATTTGTTTTTGGAAATATTTTATTATGCACTATGTACAGTATTAAAGCATGTGTTTATGCTTTCCCTCACATTTTTGTTCTCATTTGCCGTTTTAGGCAATCGCAAATCTTTTTTCCTGAGATCATATGCGTAAGCTAATGCATTAGCATGCGTAAAATTGGTTCGTAAAACTTGCTTGTATGGGGAGGTTGTCTCAATCATAATGTTATACCTATAGGAATCGTACTAATGAATAAGTTGTTTTCAAATTCTTAGAATAGTTATTTGAACTACGTAGCTGTTGAAATGTATGTAACTTTCTTGAAAACGAAAGAAATAGAGTGTAATGCATAAAATAAAATGGGTAGCAAATCCTTGTAATATATCATTGCCTAATTAGGAAATAGAAAATGCTTCCATTAATCAATATACCCAAAAGGGAAATTTGAAGTTAATATAACTAATTAAGTAATTTTTACAACCATTTTGTTTGGAATTGTCCAAGATTGAAAGATGAATTACAACGATCTGAGAGAATATATGTGGAATAGAAATTACCTATAAAAGTTTTGATTCTTTTCCATTCAACACTTGTTTAAAAGGAGGTTTAAACTTAATTCGTTAACTATTAGCATTTATCCATGAGATTGTATACCATTTTTTCATTCTGTTGCATGTTTGCAGCGTTTGTATCTGCCTTGCCATATGCTTCCCCTGTTGATGATTCTGAATTTGACTTGGGATTATATTTAGAGGATTTAATTGAAGAAAGAGGATTGGAAGAATATTTCGAGGGTTTCTACGAAAATGATGGCATACAAAAGAGAGATGAAAAATCCATTGAGAAGATTCTCTTACTTGTTAATAATTCTGGCATTATATGGGAAGCCTTAGATGCTGTTGCTGGACATCCATCCAGAATCCAGTTCCTTGCTAATCAAACCGGGAAGCTTCTTAACTCTTCAGGAAGTTCATTGGATTTATCAAAATTAACTAAAATGACCTCTGGCTTAAATACTACCGACCTCCTCGATATTGTTAAAGAATCAGGGTTGCTTACTTCCATTTTAGATGGTATTTTATTGGATGATGACTACAGACCAGTATTAACCAAATTAATCGAAAGAGTTGTCAGACCAAATATGTTCGTCATCTCGTACCTTATCCATAGCGTTTTCCAAAAGAGAAGTATTGAAAAAAGAGCAGATTATAGCGGTAGTCTTGCAACATTTGCCGAAAACACTCTTTCAACTGTTCTAGGATCAAAGATTTTCAGAAATACATTTGCTGATATTGTCAATGCATTAAATGACACTGAAGTAGCAGTTTACACTATCAAAAGATTCATAGCCGATGAAAGCTACCAAAATATGACTGCTGATTTGATAAAAGACGTATATGATACAGGAGCTGTTAAATTAAGTGGCTCTCTTAATATCACTGCTATTGTTGGTACTGCTGTTAGCAATCCTAAGGCAATTACAAACCTCATTGCAAAGGTTTTAAGTGGCAACCTCGATTTCGGTAGCTCCTTAGGAAAATACTCCGGAGCAGTCAAGAAGATCATTAAAGATTTAGAAAATGACGGACTCTTCGAAGAATTAAACAATGAAGTATTCCCATCATCTTCAAATAAAGCCTCTTCTACTAAAACTGCTTCGCAAACTAAAAAAGAAAAGGCCGTAGTAGCTACTTCAACTTCCTCCAAATCTGACAAAAAAGCCTTAACCATATCTATGTACGGCAATAACAAAGAAAATAGCCCTACATCTTCCTCAAATTCTGGTTCAATTAGCTTACAACAAAACTCGAATATTCCAATTGTCAAATGCTTACTTTACTTGCAAACATTAGTCTTTGGTGGTGCTTTATTGTTAATCTAAAGAAATCGTCATGCAAACTTAGATCATTTAAATTTTTACTTCTCTAGTACCTATAATTCTCATTATCTTATATACTACCCCATTATGTTTTATCCTTTCTTACGTTTAATTTTCCAATTTTCTTAAATACTATTTCGTTAATAAATATCCTATTTTGATTATGTACATACTGTATAATACATCCTTATCGAGGATTTCTTAGCATTAGCACGGGTTCCGATTTTTATCGTTATGTCAGTCTATAGAAAAATAAACTCTCCCATTAAACAGCTTTGGCATTCCTTCTGTAATTGTGTCAATGACAAAGAACGATGATTATTCTGAAAACCCTAAGAATCTAGCTGAAAACAATGAAATTTCGGGTTTCCAACACCTTGAAGACATTAAGGATTCTAACCCACCTAAAGATCAACAACAATCTCCCATTAGCAATAATCACCTAAAAACAATTTCAAGTTATGACTCTAGCATACTTCAATATGTGCCTAATTTAGACTCAGTTGTTTACCCATCTTCCAATAATATATCAAAACAATCTTCACGGGATGGATTGCAGAAACTAACTATGGCGTCCCCTCAAAAGAAATTAATACGAAGTAAATCACAACCGTTCTATAGCAGGTCTTCAGAGACTTCTATTAGTCAACTTAACAAATTCACTAAAAGCTATATTATTCCCGCTGCAAAATGGGCGTATTCGCCAATATCCAACGGTAAGTCAAAGAAAGAAGAATATATACCATCTTATAAGATAGAGTATTCTGTCTTCAAACCATTGAAAAATATACGACCTGTCCAAAGCCAAAGCGAATACATATTTCACTGGCAAAGAATAATCGATGAAGATCTTAATGAAAGTAAATATCCTGATAATTATTTGAATAAGGACGATTTTTCAAATATAGTAATTAGCGTTACAGATCTAATCGAATTGGACGGTTTTAAGCCGAATCGTATTTCCCAAGGTTCTTCAGGTAGCTACTTTATATATAATAGGAGGGTTTATGAAGGTTCTCAAGAAATATACAGGGCAGGTATATTCAAACCAAAAGATGAAGAACCTTATGGACCATTATCTCCTAAGTGGACAAAATGGTTACACAGAACATTTTTTCCTTGTTTTTTTGGACGGTCTTGTCTTATTCCAAACTTGGGGTACGTTAGTGAAGCTGCTGCCAGTATACTCGATCAGCAATTGTTATCCTTCATTGTACCACATACGGAAATCATACATTTGAAGTCAAGCTCATTTTATTATTCATACTGGGATAGACACAGAGCTTATTCAAAATTGTCTCCAAAAATTGGTTCATTCCAGTGCTTTTTGAAAGGATATATGGAAGCCCAAGTATGGTTCCAGCACTTTCCTATTCCTAATGAAATATCTGGATTACCTGAAGAATGTGAGATCTTGGTTAGACATAATGAAAGTATTTTAGATTCACATTTTAAATGGAATAAGAAGACCTTGCAACAATTTAGAGAAGAATTAGAAAAATTGGTAATATTAGACTACATAATGAGGAATACAGATCGAGGTTTAGATAACTGGATGATAAAAATTCAATGGATTGAAATTAAACGTAGTAAATCTCAACGAAAAATGACACCTATTATAAAGATTGGAGCTATTGATTCGGGTTTGGCATTTCCTTGGAAGCATCCTGATGAATGGAGATCTTTCCCATTTGGGTGGTTATTTTTACCCTTATCTATAATCGGTCAGCCTTTCTCAATGAAAACTAGAAATCACTACTTGCCATTGTTAACGTCTATAACTTGGTGGGAAATGACTGTCAAAAAGTTGAAAGAAGTATTCATGCAAGATGCTGACTTCAAAGAAAGAATGTGGAAAAAGCAGTTATCAGTATTGAAAGGTCAAGCATTTAATGTTGTTGAAGTATTGAAGTTGAGCCATGCTGGACCTCTAGAATTGACCAGGAGGGAGACATTGTTAATCCGTGATGATGAGATGAATATTCCAGAACTGGTGGATTCGGATATAATGATAAATGCAATGCAAACAAGCATTTATGATTTGAATAATAAGCCATCTATAGCCAACAATGCTCCTAAGCTCAATATGTTGAATGATTTGGAACCTAATGAAATGAGTCCCCTATTACCTGATAATAGTAGTATTCGTACTACCAAAAGCGAACCACATTTCAACATGTCTGGGTTTGAATATAATATGAATTTCAATGATGACCAAAGAAATAATAATATTGATGAAGGTGGGACAAATACAAAGATGGTAGTGATTGAAAGGCTAGAAAAAGTTAAAAACAAGCCACCAGTTTTTACTTGGTGTTAATAAGTATATTTATTTCAAATTGCAATGTCTATGTATATGTTTAATTTATAAAAGTCTACTTCTTGAGCATATCTGGGTAACAGTCTGAATTCAATTTTTTATATTCGCTTTCATTGATTTTGATTATACCCTTTTCTTCTTTAATTCTAAATTGAACCATTGATAATAGGGTATATAAAGTCCTCAATACAGGTGCATCTACTCCATTTGCTTTTGCAATCTTTAAAGGATTTCCCAAAATAATTTCCGATTCAAACAACTGCTTCTTTCTCGCATCCACGCACATTGAAGGACTGTAAAATTGGCCATCACTAATATGAACGAATTTCTCAATAGTTTCTGGAGATATCTCAACGCCTTCACTGGCTGCAATAGCTACAATCTCTCTCATTGCAGGCCTAAAGAGTTCATCATTTGCACCCGCAATTTGACACCTACTTACGTCTAAATTGACAATAGTAGTAGTAGAATTAAGAGCTGCATTATAGAGCAATTTTTCCCATCTTGTCTTTTCCACGTTCCCGTCAAAAAAGACTTTATTATACTTGTCATTACTGTATATTCTAGTAAACTCACGAATTGCATATTGCTCTTTCTCTTCATGGTTTTCAATATTTGGGTTATTCCAAGCCCCAAGATAAATTTGGTCTTTAAGCAGGTTACAGACAACACGATTGATATTACTAGATCCAATTAATGAAACACCACTTAAAATTATATTTTGTGGAAACTGCTCAATCATGGGTTTCTCTATACCAAGCCCGTTTTGAAGTAAAATAATTACAGTCTTAGAGGTAACTGCAGGCCTGATAATATCTTCACATGTCACAGGACCGTCAGGAATATTCTTGGTAGTCAATAAAACAAAGTCAAATTCACCAAATCTCTCAAATGCATCCGCCACAGATCTGGCTATGTGATGTGGTTTCCAATTTTTGTGTTCGCCATAAGTAACAGATGTAATAGTGTACCCACTCTCGCTGACTTCTGCATAATCCGATCTGACCACTAGAGTTACATCTGCCTTGCCATTAAGAGATAAGCATAAGGCACCGATGGCACCCACACCACCAGATCCAACAACAAGAACTTTCGGTTTGGACATATTAAAGT